GTCACAGAGAAAATACCAATGGATGAGGAGCAGGAGAAGATAGACTCGTTCCAACCCAATAGGATACCCCTCCTAGATTCAGATGCTTCTAAGGAAATCCAAGATGTAATACTAATACTCCCCAGACTTTTAAGGATATTAAGTCTGATGGAATTAAGCTTGGTTTCCTGGAGACCCACTAGATCTACTTTAGCGAATTGGATACAGTCTCACTAATCTACGTTTAGTAGGGTTGTTTAACCCTCTCACGTTCTAAGATCCGATCCTCATTTGAGGATTGGAGGGGACCAACTTGGGAAGAGAGGGCAGTTAGGTTAGCTTATCCCCTTCTTTCTCCATGGCTTGGATCTCTACCAAACCTAAACGGTCAACCGGTTCTTTGATGCCATAATTGATAGATATGTCGCATAATTGTTGCAAATTTAGCGAATTAATGTGTAGGGGAGGAAGAGGAAGATTTACCCTTAGAGCCACCTAGAGGGAAGCTCCTCTTCATAATTGAAAGGTGCTTCCTGTAGGGAAGATGAGCCAGCATTCTTCTGGATGATTTTCTCCTTGATTTCTTCTTGACATTCTCAAAACCTGGGGGAGGGTCGGAGGAAGATGCAACATCCATGGAGTCGGAGGAACTACTGATATTAAGAGGAGAGTATGAGAGCTGGGGATGTGGGGTACAAGGGAGACTTCTGCTTGGTGAGGGAATGCAACTGTAAGAAGATTCCAGTAATCTTTTGTGATCCTAATTGGGACCCCCTTACAGACGACATCTATGAGCTCAGGCTGGACCACCTCCTGGTAAGCTGGGAGTGGAATATGGGGAGAGGTGGGGTTGAGCGTGACTAAAGTGGTCCCCCAACATCTGCCATGGGCTTTTTTTCCTTTAGGGTCCAAGGATGCCCCTCTTTACGAACAAAATTTTCAAAGTACTCCAAACATTTTCCTTTCCTTTCAAGAAGAGGTTTGCCCACTACCTTAAGCTGGACCGTACCCTCCATCAAGTGCACATCGTCAGGGGATGGATACCAAAAAGTAATTGTTTTAGGGATCTCTGATATATCTCAGACGCTGAGCATGACCTTGCATTCTTTAGCATGTTTTTTTATCATGACATTATCGAAGACTGTAATGACATCTCTTATGTCTTCTAACAGCTGCATGAGAAACTCCGAATCCCATAGATGGAAGGGGAGGTTGATGATTTCGACCCAGACATAAACAAACTTGGGGAGAGCATTGAGCCATATCTTCTCTGACCATGGGGAGAAAACTCCACCAAAGTTACCCATGTCAAAATACTCCTTAGAGCATGCTAGATCTAGAGTCTCTTTGTTAGGGAATTGAATGAAGTAGGATGAAGGGGAGGTTCGTCTGATGTCGTACTTTCATCCGTTTACCTTGAGATGGAACTCCAGATTTTCAATGAGCTCTTCATAGGATGAGTTACCTACTTGCAATTTGAAGAATCCATAATAGGAACATGGCTCTATGTTACTAATCATTGAAGGGGGCAAGGTGATGTTAGGGATGAACAGGGGAGGAGGAAACATAGAGTTAGGAGTGATATTAAACAAAGGAGGGTTGCTTTTGTTGGGACAACAAATCGATGTGTGACCGACTCTGTTACAAGCGAAGCACTTGAGATCACCTAGGAAACCATTTATTGCCATATGTGCTTTATCTTTACAAAGAAAGCACTTGAGGGGTTTGGGAGGGTGATGAAGGTGAATGGAACTGAAGGAGGACTTGGGTCTCTTGGATCGTCTTTTGTAGGACACTTTGATTCAGCCTTCTTTTGGAAGAGGGAGGATCCCCTTTTGAGGGGAAGGGATGGAAAGATGAGACGGGGGAGACTGTATGCCCTTAAAAAGATTTGCAAAGGGGGAGAAAAGGGGTGGTGGGTGTTGGTGGGGTAGAGGATTTGGCTGGCAGTGGGTTGATGGGGTAATAGAGAAGGTATTACTGGGAGGAGGGGGAAGAAGGGGAAAGGCAGTTTCGGGTGGAACTGTGAGCGGAGGGGCTGACTTGGGCGGCACTATAGACGGAGGGATAGGAGACAGAGGAGTAATGGTGATATTACTGTTGTTGAAAGAGACCATTCGTCGCTTTGGGAATCGCGCCGCCGCCTGTTCGCTTCTTCCGCCTGGTCGCCTACCTAATTGCCTTTTCGCCTCCATCCTATAATCCTCATCACCGGATTTTGCTAGACCAAACATATACTTAAGTCAAACACACACTTAAACTGAATGGATGTGTAACTCCTAACGATATGCTTTTTTAGATTTAGATTCTGTAACCTTGGATATGCACATGAGCAACTGTGAGAACATGGCAGTTATGTCGTGCAAGTACAAGAACAACATTGAGAAAACAATGGATAGATCTACAAGAAACCAATAAACTTGTCGTTGACTCTATTTGGAATTTCATGTGGAAGTATAGAGTAGGCCTGGCCACTGGTTTGGTTTCAGTTCTAAACCTTGTTTCTTCAGATATTCTGGTTTTTATTTCTATAAATGCATTACGTAGATCACATTATTAACATTGCCTTGGCGGATGATGGTTGTAATGAAGAGAAAACTGATCCAAGGTTGCCATGTGTTTTTTGGGAGCGCTTTGCGATCAATAGAGTGAAAAGGCCTAGATGGATGATCAGAATGAAAGAGAACTTTTCCAGGGTTGCCATACATTTCCTAGGATGCTTTATTCAGTAGGACATATACATTCTTGTTGAAGAATAATAGGCCAAACTAAGAAAACTCACGTGTTGATCCGCAATATTAGAACTTCGTGATTGTGCTTTTACAAGATAGGAGTGGTCCTGTAGGCAGGTCCCAAGATGGTGGTGGTGGCCCTGCACAGAATAGAGGCCGAGAACGATATTTAGGGCTAAGAAAGGAGAGAGCGAGAGAGTCTATGGAAGGAGAAAATGAGAGATAGTCAACTGAAAGAAAAAATTGAACTTAGGATGTACTGTCTCTTTCTGGAAATGAATAAGTTCCCATGTAATTGGTTTGGCGCGTTATGAGCTGGTTGTGATAGAAAACGATACCTGTCAAGGCAACACTAATTTCAACAAGGTTTTCGGATTGTCGGTGGAAACCCTGTCTTCAACTGTATGGACTACAGAGCAAGGACCAGGGATGAGATAATCAGGCACGGTTTCCAGGTAAACCAAGAAGGACCATCTGATGACCAGTATAATTGGGTCGCTTATGGCCAACATCACCGGTTCAACCATAACGAACGTGATCATTTGCATATAGATCTTCATGCAAATCAAGAAGTACCGTCGGACGACCGACGTAATCGGGTCACTTACGGCCAACATACCGGGGTTCAACCATAACGAACGTGATCATTTGCACATCCGGTCAAACAGTAACGAGACCGACCATAGGTCGCCTGATCAGGTTGACAGGTTAGACAAATAGAACCAGCACACTGGCTAGAGCCCAACCATAAGTCGAATGTAATCAGCCGCACATAATTAATGCCCAACTAAATTTAACCTAACAACACATGATCCCGAACAAGACCCCTGTATTTCATCAGGCTGCGTCCCCGCAATCAAATCAAAAAGGGATTCGCTGAATAATGAGTTTTTTTTTCATAAAAAACAAAAGAAATACTAAACAGAATTATCTTTACCCAGAAAAGCATCAATCATTCATCCTTGAGGACCTCATCCGCACGGGCGGCGGCGGAAGAGGGGTCGGCGGCATCAGCAGCGGTTCTCGCGGCGTCTTCCTCCTTCAGAATCTTCTCCATGTCGCTCAATCTCGTCCTCACGACGCTGGTGATCAAAACTGAGCCCAAGAAAGCAAGGGCCAAAAGAGTTCAGTTACTAGGGTTTAATGGGGGGCGAGATGGGGGGGTGTAATAAAAGAGTCTTACTTGCGGCGGTGCCAAAGGTCCAAACCCAGAGGATCTTGAGGCCGGGGCCTTTCTCGCTCCACCGCGTCACCATTGAATTTCTCCGATTCGATTCGATTCGGTTCAGAGCTCGGTGGTGGTGGTGGTGATGATGAGGATGGGCTGCGCTCTCCAACTTCTGCTCACAGTCGTCGGGAGCGGGCCTCTTGTCAGGATGATGGGCAGTCTTAAGGTTTTAAAGTGATGTGGGCCTAGGTAAACCCAGCAGCCCATTTAATCGAGATGGCTTTTCACATGTAACATGTACTGGGCCAGGCCTTACTTGCCATGCTATCATTAGAAGACGAACCGCGTCGAGCGAAAATAGCCTGACAATTTCATCCTTAAGTAAGTGTAATTTTGTTGGAATTTTGAGAATAAAGTTAAATTCTTCAAGTCATTTCTCATTTTAACTTTGATACCACACTGTTCTTTTGCCCAAAAATATTTCACTTCGTTTTTCACTTTTACCCCGAAGTTCTTTCTTGCCACAAAAAAAAAAAAAAAAAAACCCTCTAAACCCCGAAGTTCTTTCTTGCCACAAAAAAAAAAAAAAAAAAACCCTCTAACGTTCTTCGATATTTAACTTCGATGCTCTAAAGTTCCACAAAATTTAACCTTTGATCCCTAAATTTCAGTAAAATTTATTTTTTGACACCTAAAGTTCAGTGAAGTAGCAAATCAGTAAATTTTCTTCTTTTCTGAACAGGTGCGTCTGCCTCCAAGAAGGCTATCAAACTGAAGAATATCCTCCAATCATCGGGCCTCCCAGAGATTCTGGAATCAAGTGGAGACAGCAACAGGCTCCCATGATAATTCATCTACCCTTCAGCTTGCCAGCAGAAAGCCTTTCCAAGGGCTCCTTTTGGTTTTTCTTTTGTCGTTATGATTTTGGTAAGTGGGTGGGAACATTGAAGATGTCTCCTTATCGGTGACGGCAAGGCAGATCAAATTGTCTCCTTACCTGTGAAGAAGTGCATAAACAACTCAAACGTAAATATTTGTCTTCTCAATGGAAATGCGAAGCACACAACACTCGAAAGAAAGCAAGCAGATCAAAATGCTGCAATGAGTCGGAAAGCTGCAGCTGTTGCAAAGTTAGTCTCTACCTTAGATGAAAATAAAATATCATCCCTACACATTTTCACATGATAAATTTCTTCACGTTGTTATATTGAATTCAGTTGTGTCAATGTTCTGTACGTCCTGCTGACATTTCTGCTAGATGTATCCTCGACCTGACATACATTCAGGCCACGACACGAATGTATACGTTCACACTTATATGCGTGGTGTCTTCGCAGCACAAATCCTGATCGCCAACCATGACCAAATACTGATAATCTGAAATGTGGAAGTTTGGATGTGCCACATTAATGTCATACCAACAATGAGCCTGAAGGGGTACCCTTACATCATCCTCCATTCACTCGCGAAATCATGATTGACGTGGTGTTCTTCGCTTAACTTAGTACCTGTCAATTACAAATATGAAATATTTGTGAAAAATAAACAGGAATTATTACACCATTTTATTTGTTTGAGTAATTATGATTCTGTAATTACAAATATTAGTAACTACAAATCTGAAATATAACTTTATTTTTTGTTTTATTACATGTGGGTGGTTGAACTGTACACTAAATAATGACGGAATCATCAGAATATCAGGAATTAATTCGATGTGGTGTCCCTTCACTGATGAATCTGAAAAAGTGACAGATAATCTTTGCCCAGAAGGAGAATTTTCTATTTCAATTCAGTTGTCAGGACTAGCAGATCCAACAAAATTCATTGTGCTGAAGAATGACCTTGGAGTTCTAGAAAGAGCAATAGGAAGAAAGTAAAAACTTTTCTGTTATTGTTGTCCACCTGAAGAAGTGTTGCCAAATGCAAATGATTTTGTATTGTTGATTTTCTGAACCTTCTTGAAATCGTTAGCAAGACTACTTTATTTATTCTCTAAGCTGCCATTAACTCATTAACAAAGTATAGTTACTCTTGATTTCAAAACTGTCTTTACATATTACAATACATGTTATATGTAGTTTTGATAAGCACTGATACAAATGCAAAAAATACTTGTGATGCAGCTGCGTAGCATTGTAAAAATCTTCTGATCCTTGCCCCCTATTAAAAAAAGCGTAGAAGAAATAAAAGAAAAAGGATCAATCTCACCCAAACTACACATTTTATAGATAGCTTCACAGAGAACAATAGGAAGAAGAGATGTACCCAGGTGCTCTTCACTACATACGGACTATTTCTATCTGGAATATCGATCTACAAGTGACTTTGCTTTCTCTGGAGCAAAAAATTTTGCCTGCATATAACATACAAAAATGGCTGTCACAAGACATTTTCCTGAAGAGTGGTGCTACTGCTAGGAGGACCCAAATAAGGGACAGATTTAGCGGACAGGTGACATGGCGTATACAGCTGTTCATTGAGTCATAAGCATCATTGGTAATTCAATGCATCATCTCTTCCCATCTATGATTGCTGCAGTCCCGAAAAACTTTTTTCCCAAATCCACCACCATCCATGATGCCGCCATCGCGCTATCATTGTCTAGTCTATCATCATATGATTCGTACAATTCGATCGCTGTCAGCATTCAATTTAAAGTTTTGGATTCTTATTTCTAGCATTCTATTGTCATGGAAGTTACAACAGCCTCATAAAATCACTCCCTTCTCCTATTGACTGCAGAACAATCGCTCTTCCTTCTCCTTTGCTAAAACAGACTACATTTTATTGAGCTTCATAGAGTGCAGAACTTGCTTTCGTATGATACCAAATTAGCCTATTACCCAATTTGCCAAGAAATAAATCTTAGATCTTGATGGTTGAGCACGCCACAAGCTCTTCCTTGTCTTTACTTATGAACAGGAAGGGGAAAATTGTTTTTTCTATCTTTTTATTTTTGGTTTGAGAAACTTGAACTTATGATAAAATCAAGTTGGAGGACATTGTTAATCTGAGGACAAAGTATGAAGGGCTACCAGCTGATTGCAAGAGAAATCAATGGTGAAATAGAGGGAATTAGTACGAAGACATTTGAGTAAAGCTCCAACTTCAAGCTCCCTGTAGCAGAGGTTAAAAGATTACTGAAACGTTAGTTGTTAGAGGCCTTTGGGGTAGGGATGGAGAGAGGGGAGTTGCGAGAGAGAGAAACTTCAGGAGTTAACTTTCCAGCATGGAATTAAAAATAGTGCAAATAATTTCCATGTCACCTGTCCCTTAGAATGGTCCCATATTTTGGGTCCAAAAAGAATTATTCTTTCCTGGAAATAACAACACATAAAAACTCCTATTTTTCAATGAATTCACAAAGGCATGCTAGAGAATTATAGTTATAATTTCCGGAAAGAAGTGAGAAGAATGAGAAAGTTCCATACCTGAATAAACATCCTTTCTGCATCGCCAAGTTTACCATTTTCTTTTAATATGATTCCCTGATACGGAAAAGAAGCTTCTATCATGAAATAGGTATATCAAAGATTACAAACCGTTCATTATTACCTATTTCAAGTGAGTTACATAATAACTTAAATATCAGAAGTGGAGGATGCACATGCTGCCCTTGTCAGTGTGAAATCTTAATAGATTTCTAAGCGTTACTGGTTTCTTACAGCCAAATATAATTGTTGTTTCTAAACTTCCTACCACATTTCACATTAAAATTCTGAAGCTATAATGAGGCAACAAATAGGAGGAATATCTAGAAGAATATTCAGTGGAAAAAAATTGAAGATAATAAGAACATGTTGTGGAAGAAATCCATCTTAGCTGTCAAATGGACTGAAAGGGGAAATCTGAAGAATCTCTAAAGGAAAATTACGAAGCAACCTTGGTAATTATTCAACAGCATAGTGATGACAGTTAAGTTGAAGAGGATATTTACAGAAAGAAGTATAAAAAAACCCATATACTTTTGTTTATCGTATGGTACTATAAGTGATGACCATGGCTGTGACAGTCATTTGTAAGTGAAAATTTTACATACCTTTTCAAAGAAATAACAAAACATGGATATTTAGAGTGCACCTTAGCCAAGTAACCACGGAAGTCATTTGGATACTTGGAAATAAGCTGATCGTAAACAGCAACAGCATCACTAACATGACCCCAATCAGAATAAGCCTTTCCTAGAAGCAACTCAACCTGCATATGAAATGTTAAATTAACATCAAAATATTTTTTTTTGCTACAGAAAGATATATCTATATGTATGTATAATTGTTTTATTTTAACCATAGCTGTTTTGTCAACTCTTATTTGATAATACAGGTTTATCGTAAACAAACTATATTACTTGCAAGCAGGAAGACCATGAATCCAGGCTACATCATTATCCTATTACAACTGCCGCAGGGCCTGTACCATTATAGAGGTGGTCCCCACCACATGGTCCCTAGAGTTCAAGACTTGTCTTTTCAATTCTTTCTAGTAGTTAAGACACTGTCCCTGCTACAGTCCAATTTCTTCCTGATACTATTGTGTACACTATATGGTCTAGCCTGATAAGAAGGCATGACATTTTGTAGGAAACAGATGAGGCAACAGTGCTATAAGCATGTTTTCCTGAATCATGGTATGTTATTGGTTAAAGATCCACAAATAAAGAAACATATATGAACTTAGAAACAGTCATTCATAACATTGAGTACACTTCTAAGTAGAGGCCTTTACCTGGACTGGATCAACCTTCTGCATTGTCTGCTCCAGATTACTGCTTGCATCAGGTAAAATATTGGAGGCATCAGAACTGCCACCATTTAACTGCCCTCTAGATGACAAAAGGACTTGAACAGCCTACAACATTCACGAGCTGCAATGGTGTTATATACAAAATATGAACCATAAAAATCGACATATTCTATTACATGTGACAATAGCCACAGTTTTCAAAGGACATGGATAATTCAGTCATTATGCTGGAGAAGTTCCATCTGTGTAATGAACAATAGAAAACCTCAAATTCTGACAGAAACAAGAGAAGTACAGAATTAGATATACCTCTAGTATGCATGTAAATAAATATATGAGTTTTGGGGGTTGGTATACCTCCATGCTCATAGCTGGTGTGTTGCTGACATGATGTAATCCAAACCGCCACAATCCAGTATTCCAGATCATTAACATATCCAGATAATACCTAACAATCTGAATGTGTGTCATGTCAGCTATGCACCAGTCAGGAGCATTGATGATCATGTCAGCTATGCAGCAGTCGGGAGCATTGATGGTCCCCCCCTCACCCCACCCCTCCCCTAGGAATTGTAATCATGCTTGACCTACATCCACTAGGAATATAAGGTGTTAACCACATACATTTACGATTTAGTCTAACACGCATCCGTACGGACACGTACCCATACCCGTATCCAAACTATTTAAAATAGTGGTCATACATTTTTCGAACGTATATCCTACACTTCATATCCATTTCTTGATAGTTGTTGGACATAGGTCAGATTCAGATTCTGAATTATGATTTTGACGGAACATTTAGATGTCTAGTTCAAAAACTATTTTTCAATTTATAATCCACTTAATACAAGAAACATAAACTTTTATAGGAAATTTAATTCTCATCCTTGTCCTTATATAATTCTCATCTTTGTCCTCATATAATTATTAATTCCAATATATAATATGTGTATATAAATATTTATATAGTTGTGTCTGTGTACCCTACTTTTTACAAATTTATCGTGTCTCGAACCTATACTGGTACCGATACCTGTACCCATACACATACCCATACCCAGGTAACAGAGGTCTAAACCATCTTGACATTTGATTAGTTCATCCTAAACATTTTGTCACGTCACGCCTCGTTTGGTACGCGGGAATGGACAGACTTGGGAATGGAATGGAAGAAGGAATGGAATGGATTGCATGTGGGAATGGAATGGTCATTCTCATTCTCTTGTTTGGGTGCATTCGTAGAATGAAGCTAGAATGAAAATCTCATTCACATTCCCATGTTTGGTATCATTAGTACACAAGTGAGAATGAAATCTCATTTTCTAATAATGCCCTTACAATAACATAGATTTAAAATAAGATAAAAAATAAACATTAATGATAATAACTAAATAATTTTATATACGCATATGTTATATTAATCTAGGTATGTGTTATACTAATGCTCGTGTTATCCATCAGGTGTATGTTTCGTTTATATTTTTTAAACAATACTCGCTATTTCTTAGTCTTAAAAATTAAAGAAAAATAAAAAAAAAGATTATCGTATCTTTCATAGGTCCAAAAAAAAAGAATGATATCCACAATCCACAGTTCTAGATATATAAATTAACTTATTTGATAAAGTATCAAAATCACTCAATTCATAATAGCAAAAATCCATAAAACAATACCAACTAAAATAATAATTTTCGAAATAGCAAAATGATATACTAGCCTAAATTGTCAATCTAAAATTGTCCACTTGCATAGGCCTCACCCAAACATTCTTTATTATTAATATGGATATAATTGAAAAATACCTAACTAGTTTTTGATTCTCACTTGAATGGGAATGACCATTCCTTATCTTCTCACTTGGAATGCTCATTCCCACAAATAGTGGGAATGATCATTCCTAGGGAATGGTCATTCCAACATCTAAAATATTGGTGTGTTTGGTATGAGGGAATGGGAAGTGGGAATTGCATTCCATTCCTCCTCATTCCAGCGTACCAAACGAGGCGTCAAAGATTGAACAATTGCTCAGAGTGCATGAAAACATCAAATTGCCTATATATTTGTTCCTCTTAGTTATATGGGATATAGGATTATTTCTTCGAAAATTTTGTTAACATTGTTCATTATATTTTTACTTGGTTTTTTATATATAGCATAATTCCTTAACTTATTTAGGAGAACAGCTCAACCCACTATAGTTTCTCTAGCAGAAATAAACAAGTTTTGACCAGATGAACAATATAGGCTTGACAATATATTTTGGGATTCTCTTTGAGATGGATACCTCTAGACTATTGATACTTGGAAGTTATGGACATGATCATAAATGCCTTTAGGATTTTACAGGCTAAATTATGTATAGCTTTAAGATTCTACTATCAAATATTTGAAATATATATTTGTTAGAAATAAATTTACTATATCGTGCAATTTGGCTTTTATGCTAACTTGTCGTGGTTTTTAGCTTTTATGATAAAAATTTTATAAAAATCATATGGGTAAAATAGTTTTGCTTGGTCAAACCTAGCTTATTCAGATAAGCTTGTAAGCTAGTTTTTCAAAGTTGGAGAAGCCCAACCTTTTTAAATAGGACATAAAAGCTAGCTTACTTGGAATGTTATCAAACATGTAAGTATGACAAAGCTAGCTTAAAAGCTGATTTGACAAAAAAATAAGCTCCCTCACAATTGTTTTAAAAAGCAGTCTGCGCACCAACCTAAGCCTTCACAGTGCTTAGACCGCCCAACTAGATCCTCGAAGCGCTTAAGGGAGCATGAGTTGCTTATGCAGATCGATTTATATAAAAAATGGGTATATTACTCGCTTAGGCATAATAAGTAAATAACGGATGAAGAGAATGAGTCAAGTCAAAATGGATCGGACCAAAACTTTGTATTCAAGTCCATCTTAGGTAGACAATGAGTGTAAGATTTTGAATATTTGAGAAGTATCCTTCTCTATTGATGCTAAAAACATCTACGTCCCGCTTAAGCGCTCGCCAGGGTGCCTGGGCACTAGGTGCTTGGTCTGGCACCTGGAAGCACCTAGCACTTCCTAGAACATTGCCCTAAACATCCTCTTATGATTTTGGAAAGAATTGATGATTGTAATTATTCCGTCATTGGATGTTGTCATGTACTTGAGTAAGTGATCTCATAATTCTGTCAGCATCAATATTGCATTGTCACGAGAAAGGATAATAAGCTTCCTAAAAGTTGAAAAAGGCATCTGAAACTTCTGGCAAGATAAAACTCCTGACAAAATGCGTACATCTTATGGTCAAGAGAAATAACAAAAATCTATTAAAGGAAAAAGTATTATCTCCATTATATCTAGAGTTATTAGAAAGCATGGACATAGTTGAAATTAGTATTTGCTTCCATAATGACTTTTAAATAAATCATCCTGGTATATATAAATTATTTTCTGATGAAACTATACTTGTGTAAGTTTTTTGATTTATTTCTTACTCTTATCTGTAGGATTCCACCTTCAAATAGGTTAACAAACCATGCTCAAACAAACCATTTTCTGCAAAACAGTGTTTGGCGTATTTGCACATGCATTCAAAGAAAATGGTTATGTTATCCTATTATGCCTACAGGCTAAAGGAAATGCCCCAAGTATTTTAAAGTATTTTTATTGGACTCATAATGAATGATATAGTAGAAGACTTGGATCTTCTATTACCTAAAATAGACTAGGGGTGGAAATGAACCAAATAATTAACAAATAGTTCGATAATTGTTCAAGTTACTATTCGGTCATATTCGATTCAGTAGTTAATTTATCTCTAAACAAATATTTTTTAATATTTGAGTTTACTAACGAATAGAATTTAACCAGATGTATATTCGATTTGTTTCTCTATCAAATATTTGTTTAAATTTTGATCACTTAATATTTATATTATTGCACATATAATGTTATATTTTTAACCTACTTATCATTTCTACTTGAGTTTTACGTACTATATATATATATATATATATATATATATATCATAAAGGAATAATTTTTATTTATGAATTTAAATACTATTTGAAAATCAAATTCTCTAGCGGAATAAATATGCTTTGATATTCGATAAGTATTCGTGAATATTCATGAATATTTATCAAATACCAAGTATTTGAGTTTGAATTCGAAACTCCATATATGAATATTAGAGTCTGCATTCGAATTCGATAATTTTAAACAAATACAAATACGAACGCTTTAGTATTCGATTCGATTCGATCGTTTACTACCTAGAGAGCATTAGCTAGAAGAAGCCCTTACGTACATTATCAATATGATGTGCAATACATATATAAACTAGATATCCACATAACGGACTCTATTATTACTTTTGATGCACGATCAGTTAATCATAATCTTCATCTTGTTCCAACATTTATGGCTAAAAGTCATTTTGTTATGCAGCATGATATGTGACAAAAACAACACTTCAAGGAATAAGAGGCCTCCAACAAGGGTGGGTCCTAGGATACATGGGTCTCCTACAAGAAATCTCAGTGCAAAGAATAAAAGTAACTTAAGGACGAACTAGGGGAGTATTTAGGCAAGAAACTTTCAACCAGAACAAATATTGCACTACTTTATGCGTAAATAGAAATTTCCAATGGAAAGAGGATTCTAGCCCACACAAGTTATATTCTCCAAACATCATGACGATGGAAGCAGGGAGGCAATTCGATAGGCGATTGGAGAGGCGATCAGGAAATTCAAATTTTCAGGCGACGGTTCGTGTCCCTAGGCAGAGAAAAGTCTCCTTCAGCAACGGTAAAGTCACTATCTCTCATCTGACGCCTATCCCCGAGTGCCACTCAAACCAGCTTCTCAACCTTCAAACTCACCTATTGTTTTCTCTTTTCCCCCTCCTCCCTCAAATACTACTCTCTCTAAGCATCTTTATACTCCTGCTCCACCTTTTTCTTCTTTTGCAAATCTGTTCAAGAGCCTAAATCGCCCCTCTACCTCCTCCCCTAAGCCGGCCTCTTCCTCCAAGGGCATTCTCCCCCTCCCTCCTCCTTCAGAAGAGGGCTGGAAGATTGTCTCATGTAGAAAACGTCCTAAGCCATCTCCTTTTCCCCCTCTCC